TCCCCCAAAACACCATAGCCCCTGTGGGTCTCAGTTTCCCTGAGTGAGAACCCAAGTACCCAGAGGCCCCGGGGTGTGGCCCCTCAGTACTTCAACGCACTTACTGAACATTAGTGGTGGACACGGCCCACATGCAGCTGTCCACCCCCAGACAGCACAGAGGCTGCTGAGGCCAGGCCCCTCCCCGAGGTGATTTCAGCCCCCCTCTTGTGAGAGTCAGGGTGAATGCCACCCCACCCTGCCACCCAGACACCAGGGGAGTCTTCAGTGGTAATAAAACAGGTTCTGGGGGAGGAGACGAGGGACCTGTGTTTCATTCTTTCCTTTTCTCAGAATAAAAATGCCTTTTTTTTTCAGGGTTCAAAGTGCGTGCTCCTTGTTAAAAAAAAAACAAAAACCTTGAACCCATGAATGCACCCTGAAGCTTCTCGCTGTCCCGCTGCGGTGACCCGTGCTCTCCCTGCGGTGACCCCCTCCTCCAGGGCGGCACAGCCCGCTCCCGGTGCACGCTCTCCTCGCTACCGACACCTGTCCCCTTTGCAAGCATGTAGTCCTGCCCTTTGCTCCTTCCCACCCACCTCTGGATGACTTCATCTCTCTCTTTCTCTTTCTCTCTCTCTTTCTCTTTCAGGAGCTCAGTGGGAGCCGGCAGGTCAGTCCAGTTTTCACACCTGGCCTCAGGTTATGCAGGTTAGGCGGAGTTTTGCAGGTGGAATTTTAAAATAAGGAGATGACACTGGGTTATCCAGGGCCCAGTGACACCTGGAGGAGCCCTTCAAAGCACAGGTCGTGGCAGAGGGGAGGGGAAGAAAGCACCTTCTTGAGCATCTCATGGGAAGCTCGAGCAGGCTTCACCGCCTTGCAGGACGTACTGCTGAGCGAGGGAGTCCAGTGGCCTCTAGCGGCTGAGAGAATTCTGCCAACCCCCCACCCCCAGGACCAGGGCCTCCGGGGCCCTGAGGTGGGCGGCTGAGACCCGGACTTCTGCCCTCCAGGACGGTGTTTCAAGCTGAGTTTGTGGCGGCTGTCACAGCAGTGACAGAAAACAAGCGCTCTCGAGTCACTGAAAACACTG